TCGACTAGAAAACAATAATCTACTCTAAATAAGTAAAACGTGTCTCAAAAGCAGGAAGGAGAGGGTTCTAGTCATGACATGTAAATGTATCTTTGACGTGCACCTATCATGAAGTTGCACTCATATGTATAGTGAACATATAAGGAAAGGCTGGAGTACGCTGAATAAAATCTGGTCGAGGAAATGAGCTCGGCACTTCACATATTTGTAACAGTATCGTTCTCATAATCATATTGTGTCTTTCTTTACCTAAAAGTAAAATCTCAAAATCCCATCATCCCTGTCAACCCTCATGGTCTCCACGACATCACTCTTTTTACCCTTCAAACAGCTACCTATTTACTCTGCAATGACCGAGAGGGAGTTTGGAAAATCAAAACCCAAATGTTAGAATATAGAGCGCGTGGGATACTAACATGATAACGACATAAAATTAGTTAATTGTTAATATTGGTTTTCTTAAAAAGAAAAGATAAAACAAATGTACATTTGAGGACATTATCCATTATCTCTTCATGTACCTTTGTAATGTCACATTCTTTTTACAAAAGAAAATCTTATTACAGATATATTTTATTACATATATACTTCTAAATGCTTCTGTACTCATTAAATGAATGTATCGTTCATTAATTACCAAACATGTTTAATTATATGTATATGTACTATTAGACGGCTTAATTTGTTTAAATTATGAAAAAATGTCTGTGTTGTATTTCCCTAAAAAATATCCACGATAGTTTTTCACATCATAGTTAGTATAAATGTTGCCAATTCGTAACAAATATATAAATCTACAAACAAATTTACTTATAACAACTTGTTGTTTGGTCATGACATTTTCATAACAACGTAATGCAATTATTTGTAACACAAATAGCTTAATTAGTGTCAGGAACAACATATATGTCCGTGTTTATGGTTAGTTTATGGTTCACGGATGAGTGATTTTGAAAGTATGATAAAACATACTCCTACCAAAATGTATGCATAGTTTTGTTTTGTTGTCATGTAATTAACAAAAGCTAAAAATTCTGTAGACATCGTAAAAATGTCTACTCTTTAATTTATATTACACATCTTGAGTACATTGCGTAAATAAAATGGGTTTTTGAGTAGAAAAATCCCATACGATGTTAGATTAACTATTATAATTACTTGTTCATTTGCTAAATTATTTTATGTAGTGTATGTATAGGATATTTTGTTTAAGTAATGAATAAAGAATATTTTAAATACAATATTTCGTTTTAATTGCGTTTAACATAACAAATGTCAAATGTCTACTGAAACATAATTTAACATTAGACGTTCAGAATTTAAAAAACCTAATAGCACTTGGCTGTTTTTAACACAAGCTGAACTAAAAAGTCTACATGTATTTCTTTAACAGACTGGTGTTGTTGAGTCATCAGTGTTTTCTAGCGATTTTTGATGGACATGTAACATTAGTTGGGGTTGATGTAGGGGGTAGTGTGGTAAGGAACATAGGAATCCTGCTTCTTAGCCTTCTTGTAAATACTGTCCATTAAGACAATGATAATTAATTAAGTGTACTTTTGTAATTCATTTGTGCCGTTTGTATGTATGTATGTCACAGAATATGGTTTCCGTAGGTATACGTTGATAAAAAGATGAAATATTTTCTATCGTTTTGTGCAAATGAACAGGAATATTTCGTATTGAACTGTGAAACTGACTTTCTCAAACAAATGTCGGATAAGGAAAAAAATTAAATTTAAGTAAAGGGAAATATTTTAACTTAATGCAACAAAATCGTGTATAACATTTGACATAGGTAGTTTTTTGAGGAAATTATCAATCCTAACTAGCTACTTACCAGATACCTGTGATGACTTTCCTTCCTGAACTTTCCCTCTTTCGTATATTGACGTACGAAATAATGAGGACTATTTTTATACAATTTTCGATCCCGGAAAATGAATGTCTATGTAAAACTACATTCGTAGAATCTGACGACGAGATCGCCACAACATTTACATTATTAATGAGATATACAACGATAAACAGAACAACATGTGAGGCAAAACATTATTGTTTCTGTATCCTCACATAACTTAATAAGACGTGATTCAACAACCCTAGTTGAACGCCATAGACATTTATAACTTTACCTGTTGGCGTTAACTGTATTACCTGGTGGAGTTATAACGACCCTAACGGCCGACCACCTACATGTAAGCCACTGGTGGGATGTCGTGATGACCAGCCTTAACTGTTAAGTGGTGTTACGTGGACAGTACGTGTGTACTGTATCGAAAATTGACAGAGACGTGAATAAATTCCACTATTATTGCCTTAATCGTTCATCAGAAGTAAAGCATGTTATATCTTTTTTAATTAAATGTGGTGTACAAATTGCAATGCTTCTGATGTGCGATGAATGAAGATTCATAAAGAAACGTGCTTATTTGCCTTGTTGTTATATTTTACGACTAAGTAGAGATGGTTAGTGGAAATAGTTTTCAATAGAGAAAGTACATCCTAAAAAGGAAGAGCCTCGGTGTTACAAGCCAATGATATTGGAATATTCTGTAACATCATTGAATGCTCCAAATGAGCGTTTAAATAGGAAAATATCTCTCTTCGTCATTTTTCCTTACTTATGCTTGAGTTTTACGGTCGTCATTATAATCTCAACGAGAAATATGTATTTGTGCTATATGAAGCTGTGCGTGTGTGATGCTGATTAGTATCTGATGGTTTTGTTGTCGTGACACGTCCAGCTTAGCCCTACATGGCGGTTGTCGTCGATGAAGTAAAGGGCGCTTACCCTTCTAGAACACCTAGACTTATCATCCCTATACTTTTTCATGGGTTCCCGAGTATTGTCCTATGTTTTCAAATTTGTGTTTGAATCAAGGTTCTGTTAATGCGTGTTTTCTATGGTGTAATAAGCCCCCATATTAAAGTGCTTACAGTTTACGTATTTTCTTGATCACTGTATCTCGTCTCCGTAGGTGTTTTCTTATGGCTCTAAACACAGTCCTCATTCCGTTGTATAAAAATTCACACCAACGGATATTCATACTGTCATGTCCTGGTAATATGGGACTAATTCGCTGAGGATTTCATAGTATCACTTACAGTGTAGTCTTCTCTGATTCACGTATACCTGTTAAGTGGTCAACAAAGTAGCTATTCTGGTCATGGTTTTGAGAATTAGCCAACCCTTGCTCTAATCGTTGCTCATATCTGTAATATTTCAGGGAGTATTTTATCCGAGTCAGTACGACGCTTTATTGTCCTTCGTTGGACGTCTTAGCGAGTGATTTAAACCAGAATGCTGAAGAATATTCTTGAAAGGCCCATGCACATGAATTCTTTGAACATTTATTTAATGTTTGAGTGTGTACATAAGGGTGTGTCTCTTGATCTATCTAGATGTTAGCGTTTACCGATGTCCAATCAGCCAATCCTCAATTCATTGGCACTAGTATTAAGCATAGATGATGCACTGTTCGAGTTGCTAACGGTTGTATTTGGAGTGGCATTGTCTGACGTTAGCTTGGTGCCATCTAAAAAAGCATCTTTGTGCAATGCAATATGTCCGGCAAATATTATAAAACGAACACATGATATTGGCTGGAGGGCATTCCCTTTGGAAACACAACTAATAATGGTTACGGTTTTCTATCCAGTACCGTTGATAATGACATTTTACTTTATACTAAATGTACCACCTAAAATATCCTAATCAAGCCAAAATGACCTTCTCCATGACTCTATATAGTGTTCTTGATTGTATAGCAAACACTGCACATCATGGGTACATCAGCTGCTTACCTCAATTAGTCTATAAAGACACACGTGAATAATACCTCTCAATACTCGAATTAGATACAGAGGAGTCAAATGATGAGTTAAACACCATCTCACAGCTGTTTTTGTCCTTCTAGGTCTTGTCAGTGATACCAACCAACGGCCTAAACCAAAAGGGACAGCTTTCCATCAGGCTGTATGTTAACGCTTGATGATTCCGACTTCCCTATTGTGTTAATTTTTCCATTCCTAGATAGTAAGAACCACGCTTCTCTACCGTTTCATGCTTAGATAATCAATGCTCTGTTCTTAAAACCACAATATTCGTACAGGATATCGACAGGTGGTAAATAAACTCACAACACTTTGACATGCTTCATGCTGAAGACTGCAACCGAAAGTGTTATAGTCAACACCATGTTTTCTTTGGAAAATATTTCATTATCTCGAAGTTAAATACATTTGATAATCTGTATGCAAGCTGGTTTCATTTTTGTAAACCTTGTTCTCAATTCAGAACAATAACATATACTTACATGTACAGTAGTTTAGACCAATAAGGGAACAAATGCATGGTTCTCGCCATTTTAGAACACCCGGTTCCTAGTTTCTAGTAATTGGGTTGTGCATGGTTTACCTGTACTGAGTACGTTCTGGTCATGTAAATGGGAATATTTCCTTACGTGTGTTGTAACTTCCGTAATTTATTTGGAGAATTTCACACAGACAGAAGGCGAAAGTTGCATAATGAATGGGTCACGTTTCGGAACTCTGTTTAAGTATCAGTGTTACGTTTCCACAGTTGTTTCCTCTTGTGTGAAAATATTCTTCTGTTGTTTGTTTTTCTGGAGATGATATTGAGGCTTTTGGAAATAAATCCACGTTTATACATATATGAAAGCCTGAGCTTTATGTACTATCAGGGACGTATATGACAGATCTTCTTTATGCGTTTAGGTTAAGGGTAACTAGATGTTGGATGCATAGCAATGAATCGTTTTTTAGACACTATTCAATCAAATGGACATCAAATTCTTGCTATTCTAAATTACATCGGATACAATACAGTGTCATGGACTTAGATTAGTCACTACCACTGAATTTCAAATCAGTCATCTTTAAAAACAGCAGATTCTCTGTCGTACACAAGCTTGAATCACTCGGCGTTTTATTACGCAAGCGTGCAAGTGACTTTTCACACTCGTCGATCGGTTGTAAACAAAACGAAGTCCTCATGATTCGAGTGACTGTTCCAAACTTTAGGAAAGTCGGTGACCACAATGATTCGTACACCGTAAGTATGGACTAAGGTTTTTGTTAATATTTCCCATTTATCTCTCATTTTAGAGACTAGTTCATGGAAAGGTGACGGTCGATACGACACTAGCTGCCCCGTGTGCTGTGTGCTTAACGGGTATAGTCAATACTGACAATATGGAAATTCTGATATGTGTGCTGCTGTCCTCCCGAGAAGATTGTGTGTGGAACCAGTTATTGTCAGAATATCACTTCTATTTTACCAAGTTGATTGTTCAAAACAATTAGAACTGATACGTGTGCTCTTGATTCATGATATAATGAACAAAGGACGACACGCCCCCATTATGTACAATACTAATTATATACATATCGTGCAGCTGATATCTACAATACAATATGCCTAGCTACACCCATAAAGGAGTATTAATGCCTCAACTTAATTTTATCTGTCACTCAGAATGAGGAAGAATACCCGTCTTGGTGTACAGACGGTAACTTTTATTATTATTTTATTTTTGTCAATATCACATAAGAAATGTATGTTATTCACTACGGTTCGTGACTGAAATTTCTCTGTCATCATTAAATGATCATGGGAATTGAATGAATGGTACATATGTGCACTCATACAATGTAGATATACATGAATGTACATTCAAAATGTACAATGTCCATGTACATGTGGTGCAATGCACCTGCATGGTACGGTGTAATTAATAAAATAACTGTTATGAATGTATATGTATTAAGCATTTATTACAATACTATGTACAATAACTTCATTGTGCCAGAATGGCTGATCAAACTCTCTAGGTATCATATTTCATTAATAAATGCTTTTGTATAAGTGTAATTGATAAGTAAAGGTTTGTTTCAAATTGGTATTCTTACAATTTTCATTTCTTTTTGGAAGGAAATACATACATTGATCCTGTAACTGAATGTTATAAGATTTAGGATTTTGAAAATGGGAAGTACAAATTCGAGTGATTTGAAAACTGTACCGCACATTTCATATATAATACATTGTATGTTCATTAAAAAATAAGTCTCTTTCTTTTGCATGTATCAGGTCTTTAATGTTGAAGTGTGTGCTGCTGGACGGTTGACCAATATAGAGAAGCGTTACTCTGAATTTGAAGATTTCCACAAACAGGTACAAATGTCCTGACTGTATACCATAGTATTGATTATATTAATGAAGTGTAGATCATAGTGACTGGAATATTAAACAAAACAAAGTGAGTTGTCATCACTTTCTGCATGGTAGTTGTTCCAATATTCCAAGCAAATTAAAGATATGTGTGATATATATATACTCCGTCAGACATAAAAATAAGTTGAACAATGTCTGAATTTTACCTCCTAAGAAGTCTAATGAAGAAATATTCAATACATATAACATTGTGGTTGATGTAGTTATTTTGGTGTTTTTTTCCTTATACAAATTGCACCATTTGTAGCCAAATCTGGGGTAGACAATATTGACCTGTCTTAATTATACGGTATGGTTTTCATTAATTTTCAGCTAAAAAAGATCATAAGAACACCAGAATTTCCACCCAAAAAGGTGATGAAATGGAATCCGAAGGTGCTAGAACAGAGACGAGTTGGACTGCAGCTCTATCTACAGGTTTGTACTGATCCTATCGGAGCTTGATTAGTGACATAGTATCATGGTGTTATGTTTTATCTACTCCTCCATATATATATATGTTTATCTTATGTATTTGTATGTAAAGTGATATCTGAAATGCTCTCTAATGTAAAACTCTGTTTCTGAAATAAAGTAAAATAACGTTAATGTAAGAAATTCTACTCTGTCAGATTGAATTAAACTTTGAGATGACAATGACAGTTTTGTTTACCGTATCTTACCTAGAAATGTTATTTATAAGGAGAACACGTCTGATAATTCCTTTATATGATAGCTTCTCTGTTTACAATATGATATTCTCAGGTTATAAAAATGTTGATTCCAGGGGGTCGTGCAGAACGAGTACATTTCAAAAATTGTACAACGGTTTCTGTGTATTACACTACCAAACGCCACCAACATGGAGTAAGTACAGGTTGTGTTTGGATGTTTTAATTGTCTGATAATGTAGTTGACTTTGTGAGATTAAAAAAAAAACTTACAAAAACACAAACTAGGTGTGCTTAATGAAATTTACGTGATAAATGAACTTACAAAATTACACCCAGTTGCTGACCCTGATAACCATGATGTCCCTGTAAATACTATATGTGCAATATCTCCCAGTTGCTGACCCTGATGACTATGAGGTGTCCCTGTATACACTATATGTGTGATATCTCCCAGTTTCTGACCCTGATGACTATGAGGTCCCTATATGTACTATATGTGTGATATCTCCCAGTTGCTGACCCTGATGTCCATGAGGTGTCCCTGTATACACTATATGTGTGATACCTCCAAGTTGCTGACCCTGATGTCCATGAGGTCCCTATATGTACTTTATGTGTGATATCTCCCAGTTGCTGACCCTGATGTCCATGAGGTCCCTATATGTACTATATGTGTGATATCTCCCAGTTGCCGAACCTGATGTGTCCCTGTATATACTATATGTGTGATATATCCGTGTTGTGACTCTGATGACCATGATGTCCCTGTATATACTATATGTGTGATATCTCCCAGTTGCTGATGACCATGACCCTGATATACCATGATGTGTGTCCCTGTATATGTATATATGTGTGATATCTCCCAGTTGCTGACCCTGATGACCATAAGGTGTCACTGTATAAACTATATGTGTGATATCTCCCAGTTTCTGACACTGATGACCATACTATATGTGTGTCCCTGTATATACTATATGTGTGTATATACTATTTGTGTATCTCCCAGTTGCTGACCCTGATGACCATGATGTGTCCCTGTATATACTATATGTGTGATATCTCCCAGTTGCTGACCCTGACCAGTTGCTGACCCTGATGTGTCCCTGTATATACTATATGTGTGATATCTCCCAGTTTCTGACCCTGATGACCATGATGTGTCCCTGTATATACTAGATGTGTGATATCTCCCAGTTGCTGACCCTGATGTGTCCCTGTATATACTATATGTGTGATATCTCCCAGTTGCTGACCCTGATGTGTCCCTGTATATACTATATGTGTGATATCTCCCAGTTGCTGACCCTGATTTGTCCCTGTATATACTATATGTGTGTGATATCTCCCAGTTGCTGACCCTGATGACCATGAGTGTCCCTGTATATACTATATGTGTGATATATGTGTGATATCTCTGTATATACTATATGTGTGATATCTCCCCTGCTGACCCTGATGACCATAAGGTGTCCCTGTATATACCCTGATGACCCATGACCAGGTGTCCCTGTATATACTATATGTGTGATATCTCCCAGTTGCTGACCCTGATGACCATGAGGTGTCCCTATATATACTATATGTGTGATATCTCCCAGTTGCTGACCCTGATGATGTGTCCCTGTATATACTATATGTGTGATATCTCCCAGTTGCTGACCCTGATGACCATGATGTGTCCCTGAATATACTATATGTGTGATATCTCCCAGTTGCTGACCCTGATGTCCATGAGGTCGCTATATGTACTATATGTGTGATATCTCACAGTTGCTGTATATACCCTGATGACCATGATGTGTCCCTGCATATACTATATGTGTGATATCTCCCAGTTTCTGACCCTGATGACCATGATGTGTCCCTGTATATACTATATGTGTGATATCTCCCAGTTGCTGACCCTGATGACCATAAGGTGTCCCTGTATACACTATATGTGTGATATCTCCCAGTTGCTGACCCTGATGACCATAAGGTGTCCCTGTATATACTATATGTGTGATATGTCCCAGTTGCTGTGTCCCTGTATATATGACCATGTGTCCCTGTATACACTATATGTGTGATATCTCCCAGTTGCTGACCCTGATGACCATGTTGTGTCCCTCTATATATTATATGTGTGATATCTCCCAGTTTCTGACCCTGATGACTATGAGGTCCCTATATGTACTATATGTGTGATATCTCCCAGTTGCTGACCTTGATGACCATGAGGTCCCTGTATATACTATATGTGTGATATCTCCCAGTTGCTGACCCTGACGACCTGAGGTCCCTATATACTATATGTGTGATACCATGATGTCCCTGTATATACTATATGTGTGATATCTCCCAGTTGCTGACCCTGATGACCATGAGGTGTCCCTGTATATACTATATGTGTGATGTGTGACCCTGATGACCATGAGGTGTCCCTGTATATACTATATGTGTGATATCTCCCAGTTTCTGACCCTGATGACCATGATGTGTCCCTGTATATACTATATGTGTGATATCTCCCAGTTGCTGACCCTGATGACCATAAGGTGTCCCTGTGTATACTATATGTGTGATATCTCCCAGTTGCTGACCCTGATGACCATGATGTGTCCCTGTATATACTATATGTGTGATATATCTGACCCTGATGACCATGTGTGCTGTATATACTATATGTGTGACCCTGATCCATGATGTGTCCCTGTATATACTATATGTGTGATATCTCCCAGTTGCTGACTCTGATGACCATGATGTCCCTGTATATACTATATGTGTGATATCTCCCAGTTGCCGACCCTGATGTGTCCCTGTATATACTATATGTTTGATATCTCCCAGTTGCCGACCCTGATGTGTCCCTGTATATACTATATGTGTGATATCTCCCAGTTTCTGACCCTGATGACCATGATGTGTCCCTGTATATACTAGATGTGTGATATCTCCCAGTTGCTGACCCTGATGACCATGATGTCCCTGTATATACTATATGTGTGATATCTCCCAGTTGCTGACTCTGATGACCATGATGTCCCTGTATATACTATATGTGTGATATCTCCCAGTTGCTGACCCTGATGACCATAAGGTCCCTATATGTACTATATGTGTGTTATCTCCCAGTTGCTGACCCTGATGACCATAAGGTGTCCCTGTATATACTATATGTGTGATATCTCCCAGTTGCTGACCCTGATGACCATAAGGTGTCCCTGTATATACTATATGTGTGATATCTCCTCGTTGCTGACCCTGATGTCCATGAGGTGTCCCTGTATATACTATATGTGTGATATCTCCCAGTTGCTGACCCTGATGACCATATTGTGTCCCTCTATATACTATATGTGTGATATCTCCCAGTTGCTGACCCTGATGACCATGATGTCCCTATATATACTATATGTATGATATCTCCCAGTTGCTGACCCTGATGTCAATGAGGTCCCTATATGTACTATTTGTGTGATATCTCCCAGTTGCTGACCCTGATGTCCATGAGGTCCCTATATGTACTATATGTGTGATATCTCCCAGTTGCCGAACCTGATGTGTCCCTGTATATACTATATGTGGGATATATCCGTGTTGTGACTCTGATGACCATGATGTCCCTGTATATACTATATGTGTGATATCTACCAGTTGCTGACCCTGATGACCATGATGTGTCCCTGTATATAATATATGTTTGCCGATATGTGTCCCTGTATATACTATATGTTGCTGACCCTGATGACCATGATGTCCCTATATATACTATATGTGTGATATCTCCCAGTTGCTGACCCTGATTGTCCATGAGTTGTCCCTGTATATACTATATGTGTGATATCTCCCAGTTGCTGACTCTGATGACCATGATGTCCCTCTATAGACTATAAGAGAGATATCTCCCAGTTGCTGACCCTGATGTCCATGACCTGTATGTGTCCCTGTATATACTATATGTGGTATATACTATATATATCCAGTTGTTGTGACTCTGATGACCATGATGTCCCTGTATATACTATATGTGTGATATCTACCAGTTGCTGACCCTGATGACCATGATGTGTCCCTGTATATAATATATGTGTGATATCTCCCAGTTGCTGACCCTGATGATGTGTCCCTGTATATACTATATGTTTGATACTATATGTGTGATATCTCCCAGTTGCTGACCCTGACGACCATAAGGTGTCCCTTTATATACTATATGTGTGATATCTCCCAGTTTCTGACCCTGATGACCATGATGTGTCCCTGTATATACTAGATGTGTGATATCTCCCAGTTGCTGACCCTGATGACCATGATGTGTCCCTGCATATACTATATGTGTGATATCTCCCAGTTGCTGACCCTGATGTCCATGAGGTCCCTATATGTACTATATGTGTGATATCTCCCAGTTGCTGACCCTGACGACCATAAGGTGTCCCTTTATATACTATATGTGTGATATCTCCCAGTTTCTGACCCTGATGACCATACGGTGTCCCTGTATATACTATATGTGTGATATCTCCCCGTTGCTGACCCTGATGACAATAAGGTGTCCCTGTATATACTGTATGTGTGATATCTCCCAGTTTCTGACCCTGATGTCCATGAGGTGTCCCTGTATATACTATATGTGTGATATCTCCCAGTTGCTGACCCTGATGACCATATTGTGTCCCTCTATATACTATATGTGTGATATCTCCCAGTTGCTGACCCTGATGACCATGATGTCCCTATATATACTATATGTATGATATCTCCCAGTTGCTGACCCTGATGTCAATGAGGTCCCTATATGTACTATTTGTGTGATATCTCCCAGTTGCTGACCCTGATGTCCATGAGGTCCCTATATGTACTATATGTGTGATATCTCCCAGTTGCCGAACCTGATGTGTCCCTGTATATACTATATGTGGGATATATCCGTGTTGTGACTCTGATGACCATGATGTCCCTGTATATACTATATGTGTGATATCTACCAGTTGCTGACCCTGATGACCATGATGTGTCCCTGTATATAATATATGTGTGATATCTCCCAGTTGCCGACCCTGATGTGTCCCTGTATATACTATATGTGTGATATCTCCCAGTTTCTGACCCTGATGACCATAAGGTGTCCCTGTATACACTATATGTGTGATATCTCCCAGTTGCTGACCCTGATTTCCATGAGTTGTCCCTGTATATACTATATGTGTGATATCTCCCAGTTGCCGAACCTGATGTGTCCCTGTATATACTATATGTGGGATATATCCGTGTTGTGACTCTGATGACCATGATGTCCCTGTATATACTATATGTGTGATATCTACCAGTTGCTGACCCTGATGACCATGATGTGTCCCTGTATATAATATATGTGTGATATCTCCCAGTTGCCGACCCTGATGTGTCCCTGTATATACTATATGTGTGATATCTCCCAGTTTCTGACCCTGATGACCATGATGTGTCCCTGTATATATTATATGTGTGATATCTCCCAGTTGCCGACCCTGATGTGTCCCTGTATATACTATATGTGTGATATCTCCCAGTTGCTGACCCTGATGACCATGATGTGTCCCTGCATATACTATATGTGTGATATCTCCCAGTTGCTGACCCTGATGTCCATGAGGTCCCTATATGTACTATATGTGTGATATCTCCCAGTTGCTGACCCTGACGACCATAAGGTGTCCCTTTATATACTATATGTGTGATATCTCCCCGTTGCTGACCCTGACGACCATAAGGTGTCCCTGTATATACTATATGTGTGATATCTTCCAGTTGCTGACCCTGACGACCATAAGGTGTCCCTGTATATACTATATGTGTGATATCTCCCAGTTTCTGACCCTGATGACCATAAGGTGTCCCTGTATATACTATATGTGTGATATCTCCCAGTTTCTGACCCTGATGACCATACAGTGTCCCTGTATATACTATATGTGTGATATCTCCTCGTTGCTGACCCTGATGACCATAAGGTGTCCCTGTATATACTATATGTGTGATATCTCCCAGTTTCTGACCCTGATGTCCATGAGGTGTCCCTGTATATACTATATGTGTGATATCTCCCAGTTGCTGACCCTGATGACCATATTGTGTCCCTCTATATACTATATGTGTGATATCTCCCAGTTGCTGACCCTGATGACCATGATGTCCCTATATATACTATATGTATGATATCTCCCAGTTGCTGACCCTGATGTCAATGAGGTCCCTATATGTACTATTTGTGTGATATCTCTTAGTTGCTGACCCTGATAACCATGAGATGTCCCTACATTTACTATATCTGTGATATCTTGAGATTGTTTACTTCTGATAACCATGAAGTGTCCCTTTATATACTAAATATCTGATTTCTTTAGATTGCTGACCCATGATGACCTTGAGGTGTCCCTATATATACTAAATATCTGATTTCCCCAGTCGCTGACCCATGATGACCTTTAGATGTCTCTATATATACTAAATATCTGATTTCCTTAGGTCGCTGACCCATGATGACCTTTAGATGTCTCTATATATACTAAATATCTGATTTCCTTAGGTCGCTGACCCATGATGACCAGGAGGTGTCTTTGTCACATCAGCCTATGATTGGATTCCAGCCTGATGCTTTCCTTCTTAATAACAACAAAAGTAAGTGGAGGCTTACCATTCTGGAGCTTTGTTTAAGAAATCAGAATTCTTTGTGCAGACCCACTTTTGTTTTGTATGTATATATCTCTGCTGATATGAAACTGAGTTCAAAATTGACATTGTTCAGCATTGTTTAGTCTTTCAAATCTTACATTGAATACTTAAAAAATCAGACATTTCTGCAGTTTACCACAACATGGTACCAGATCAGAGAATTACTGTAAAACCTTTTTTGGTGCAGCTTAATTGTCATGCTTGTTGCATATACGTTTTGTTGTTAAATATAGTTAGATAAGTCTGCTTATACTTATTTTAACAATTAGAGGACATATAAATTCATCGATAAAGAGTATACTCAAAATCAATCCAAATAAATCCCTCTAGGAAGTTAATGTTGATACAGTATATGTAAGCGTATCGGTACATGTAATATATTACATAGATATTTTATGTAGTCAAAAATGTTTGACCTGAGGTGCTGATAGGTGACCATGTATTATATTGTACTCTGCCTCATTTATTATAACAGTGGTCAACTTCCAGCATCAAGGAGCAAATCTTTTTGACTATACCATGTGACGACATAAAACGTGTGGTTTATGACGTTGATTACAAAAACTTAATTTGAACTTACCTCAAGTTTTATTAACAAAATATTTAAAAAAAATTCCAATTTGAACATTTTCCAATGTAGTTTATATGATATATATCCTGTTTTAAGATGTTCAGCATTTATTGTCCATTTGAAATCAGTTGTGTTTTGTGATAACTGTGCATTAGTGTCTGTCCTTTGTGCTAAACTTTTTATTTTAGGATGCCTTACATTGTTCTTTTTTGTCTTGTCAGATAATCTTCATTAAGTGTTGTCTATTTAACTTTGCTAGGTAGTCTTCGTGATATAATCACTGAAGGGGTACACAGAGGGCTGTATTGTGTTCAATCAGAGGAGCCCAGGTAACATCTCCCAGTACCCACAACATCTGGACCGTTCCTGTATCAACAATGATGTCTTCAGTTATTTGTCATGAACTTTACATAATGCCATAGCTGTTCACACTTACTGAAAAACAGTTTCAGTGTTGTTTCTTAAATGTGTTCTTTAAAGAGGTATGCTACCATACCTGTTACATCTCCAAGTTATGTTAGAGTTATTGCCCTTCCATAGGTAAAATGTATTATTGTTCAGAAATGTTCACCACTTTTATTATACTGTTTACAGACCTTAATCAGTTATTTTTCTGTTAAGTTTCTTTTGTAGTCATAGAAATATAATTATATTTTGGACATTTTTTTGGCAGTTTATACATTTTGAAATTATTTTTGATAGTATTGGGTCATCGGGACTCTGCTGCAGGTAGTGATAAAAAAATCAGTTGTGGAGTCAAGATGATATTGCAAAAAGCTCCTATAATATATTTCTATGAACTTTGGCATAGTAAAAGGAGGAGTCACTCCAAGTCAGGAACATCAAACAGATTTTCCCAGTAACAATATATTAAATATAAATTGTACATCTGTGTTCAGTGGCTAAAAGTTCAATACATTTATCTGTTCAAACAAAGATTTACATTTTTTTTTTTGAAGTGTTGATTTTCATGTGCACGTTTATAGTTATTTACAGATACATGTAAAACTACAGATACAATTTGATTACTCTGTGTGTGTTCCTTGATAGCAGGGACTTAGCACAAACCATACAACACAAATCTGTACATCATCAATATTTTTTATACATAAAGCAAACAGATTACGAATTATGGGGTTAGGGATTTGTGTTTTTGTGTCTTTCCATTTGTTGGAAAACAAGCACCTTTCTCTGGCCTGGCTGTATTTTATGTTGTTTCTAGTCAGCTTCCTGATTAATGACATAATACTAACTTTTTTGCAGCCAGTGGTCGATATTGACCATTATACACTAATGTACTTGGTTTAAAATGTCTTTATAAAGAAGGTGCTTAGGCTACTCTCTAGCTTCTAACTCTAATATGTTTTTTTTTCATTGATTTTTATCCATCTGAAATTTGTTTTCTCTTGAATGTGAAATATGTTTTTATGACAATCTAGTCTAGTTTGTGACTTCCTACTTTAATGAACCTACATTGAATTATATATCTGTAGTATGCTGTGATGTATATTGTACCTATAGTATTGAATTACAATCAAAGTTGTAAAAGAAACCCATATACATTACCCCTTTCACCCTTAAAGCCAATTATATACTTGTCCAACAAGGATGAAAAAGTCCACAATATCTGTTTTGTTGTGAATTGATTAAACAATCATCTCTTTTTCAAGAGACTTAACAATGTTGTTTTACATACATGTAATACTGTCAACTAGACGTCAAAGAGTCTCTGTCCATACCAGTTTTTCTGTACATTGTGTAACTAACACAGAGCTGTCTACATATCTAACTTTCTACCATTGAATGAATTTATATGTATCTACCTAAGATTGGAATGTCTCACCAGCTGTTACATATGCGAATATGGCAGTGACCAATAAGGCCAACTTTATATGTAATTATACGTTCTAGATTTGAGGAAACTGTCTGACACTGTATATTATACACTGCATGAGATTTATACTGTACAATGTATTGAGCACTGTACTATATAATGTATTTTACTATACAGTAGATATATACCAGACTTACTAGTAATTAGGGGTCTCAACATTTGTAAGTGCAATCATTAGAAATTATATATAGTATTGTTAATTTGATATATCTGGGTATTGTTTATAATATATACTTCACACATTTGTCATATAAGGAAATATTTGATGGTATCTATTGATTGATATGTGTGTTGGGTGATCTAACTGTTTTCAGTATTAGTTCTCCAAGTTGTTCCTCCAGAGTGAGGTTTTAACTAGTTATATCCTTAATTCAAACACTAGTATGGGTAGTCCGAAATGGTACTGTCTACATTACAGACACATCTGATAATGAATGTCAAATTTATAGTCAGAGGTCATCAGGATTACCAGATGAGAAACCAAAGTCATACAAAATGTCTTATAGAAGTCTTTACTGGTACTAAATAGTAATCCGGTCCTAGTTATATATACTCCTATACACTCAATGATGGGCATCTTGGCATAGATGTCTAGCAAAGAATTCAGATGTCTGGTTTAACGAAAGGGAACTGGGTTGATACAAACAGAAATACTATTTGCCAGAACAACTTCAGTGACAGATTTAATGTGGACTCTAAGGATGTGAGACACTGGTTACAATGAAGTTAATTTCTTTGCAAGCACTGCTGATGTTTGTCTCTGATATTTTCGGTAAAGAACTTTACTGGCCCCACTTGTATAAAATATTTCAACTTAAGATTTCCTCAAGCCCAGATTTTCCTGAGCTAATATCTCCTTGAAAATATCTTGTATGAAAATTCCTCAAGGAATTTCAGGACATCCTAGCTGATGACTTCCTCCTGTTCTTTGAGAAAATTTTATACAAGCCATTTTTAAGGAGATATCAGCTGAGGAAAATCTCAAATTGAGGAAATCTCAAGTTGAGATGTTTTATACAAGTGGGGCCTGATGCAATATATTTTGTGTGAGATGAAAGACTTAGAGATGTCAGATATACATATTTGTATGTGATCGATGGCACAGACTTTTTCTATACATTTCATGTCCTAAGAAGTCTCTATTTCATTGATCAGCAAAGCAATGTTTTTGAGCTGAAATGATACTGGATGGCCATGTATAGTTAACCGAGAATTATTCAAAAGACATATAAAGTAGAAACTTGTTATCTCGAAATTTAAGGAACCATTGAAAATATTTCAACTTATCCAAATGCAAAGCACCTTTCTATACAAAAATAAGATACACAGTTGCAGAGCCAAATAATGAAAGAAACTGCATTATTCAGAAAACACACATATAAGTAATTTATTCCTCAGAATATATCAACAAATGCTATATGTTGGCCAATATAGACAAAAATTGTGAATATGAAGAGCAGAAAGTCGTTCTGTTGGTCAAACAAGGAGATAGATTTAAAACATGAGGAAGCATATTACAATGTAATAATAAAGAAAAAAGGGAAAAAAAGGAACAATGGACTTGGAATGAAAGCATGTCTAGTTTGTTTGTCATTTCCTTCATTACCATGTCCAGTGGAAAATAATAAGTACACATCAATTTTGTTTTTAAAGTGAAAGAATAATTTTAACACTAAAACTAGATTTATGAAACATATGCACTTATCACTATTGCACACAGCACCTCTGTAGGTATTAACAGTATATAATACATCTCTCAGTATTATCTTTAGTATGGCAGTATTTCAGTAACACAGGATTGTCCCTATTACCATTATTATGTGGCAAGTCAGTTAATATCATCACCTCAGATAGGTAAATATGTATTTCATAAACTTTACAATATGTACATAAAATACATTTTTTCTGGTATATATTGAAATGTTACATAGTTATCTATAAATGAAAATGATATCTTTTCAAAACTGAAATATTGAAATGTTACATAGTTATCTATTAATGAAAATGATATCTTTTTAAAACTGAAATATTGAAATGTTACATAGTAATCTATAAATGAAAATGATATCTTTTTAAAACTGAAATATTGAAATGTTACATAGTTATCTATTAATGAAAATGATATCTTTTTAAAACTGAAATATTGAAATGTTACATAGTTATCTATAAATGAAAATGATATCTTTTTAAAACTGAAATATCTTTAAACGACTGACATATCTCTGTTAAGCTCTGTGTTAAGGATGTCTTGTATTGTAACACAGATATCTTTATGCAAAACTACCTTAACTTTAAAAGTGTTATGAGTACAAGCATCACTAACATTTTCACATGTGAATTGGATATGCTTTATGGTTAACATTGCTTGACATAGTACATGTAGTAAGAACTAATTGTCAGACAGTTTTATGTGAGTAGAGATGGGATGTCTGTGGCCATCTCCCGTTGGTATAATGTCCTTATTTTTTTTAGCATAACCCAAATTGTAACATTGGCATGCAAAGTATGTGTTCTTTAAAGTGTTAGAATGCACTTGTACATGTTTTTTTCTCTGTATAATGAACAGAAGTAAAACCACCACTCTATTTGTTCCATATACCTTTAAAAGGTACAGGGGATGTAAGAATGAAATGTACCCGTTCATATTGTTATTGATTATGAAATAAAATATAGAAATGTCCTTTTGACTTATAATTGCATCATTCTAACGTCAAGCTATCAAAACAGATTGGTATGTCGGAAACGTGATGACAATAGTTCATCTCCACTGAGATCACAAGGTGTTTGGCAGATAAATTGTCAAAAATAACTGCATTTCACACAGGGATAGGGGAGGGTAGAATCTTACTTCAGACAAGCTTGATAATAATAATCGTTTAGAATGGCACATGGCCCACTGGACTATGAAATGCAGGACAGGTAATAAATTATCTCTTTACTTTTAGATAAACACGAGTTGAATTGAACAACGTAAAAATGTTTGTATAAGCTACATTTGGACTTACTTATCTGTTTCATCTGAAACTGTGTGGGAAGGTGAAACCGTTTTCTGTCGATTATAACTTGGTTTTAATTAAACTTTTCATCTTGTCATGAGCGTAATTTTGCCGTGAATCGTCGTCGATTCCATGACAACAGTACACGTACCATGTCAAAACGATCCCGTGGTAGTGTCATTTCTTTTTGGTTAGTTTATGCAAAGATAAAACTTTGTAAATAATCACATTAGTTATATTTGAATTTATATGCTAAAATAGCATGGATACACGTGTATTTGCTGTTTTTTGTCTACTACTAATAAAATGATTTGTCTAGTTTAAGATGCATTTGCCCACACCACTCAAATACTTCAAAATACATCGTGGCTTCATTGTTCTTACTTGGATTGACAATGAATCAGAAGATGTTAACCCTTCCGGAACACTCGGTCTTAATCCCCTCGCTTCACCGATTATGAGTTTGTTAACATATTGGTATTTTATTTTTTCCTTTGAACAGTCACATCTGAAATTTAAAAAAAAATATATATATATATCTTTTCAGTTAGTGATTCTCCCAAACTTCCCATGTATTTAAAAAAAATCAATTTCATCTTTCATTAAACGGCATCATAAAGTGCTGGAATAATCATTCAGAAAAGTAAAGTTCGCCAGATCTATGTGCAATGTCAGGACTAGAAATAAGAATCTGTCCATCTTCAAAACTAGTTTCTTTCCGGAGTTTATTCTTCATACTGATGGTGGTAAGGACGAAGGAAAGGAAGGAAAATAACTATCTCTGTTGTTCTCAAGTCTCAATTTAAACACCTGAAGCAGTTTGGTTCGATGTAGCATTGAAAACAGAAACATAAGAGAGTTATATACATACGTTTATATATTATAGTTGTCAGTATTACAAAAAATACAAATTCCAAAATTTGAAAAAAAAAATTGTTTATGAAACACTGACCCCGGTTGAAACAAAATTCTGAAGTGAAATATTAAAATTGTACTGTGTAAGTCATGCACACTTTGTGAAACACTTATGTTTTCATTGTGGTAATGAGTTAACAGTTTTAGTGCAATGGTTACGGTCGATATTCAATTATTTCAAATGTAGGTCAAAGGTCACATTCAAGGTCACATGGTCAAAAAAGTACAACTGGAAAGGTCTTGTCACAAGGAACACACATGCCAAATGTGAAAGCTGTACCTCTAACGGTGCAATAGTTATGGGCAAGGTCAAAGTTGCCAACAGACAAACGGACAGACAGGGGAGATAACATTCTTTTTATGACATCTACTTACGAATAGACAGCATCATTATCGAGTACACTATGCTATTGGAGTACATATAAGATCGAAGTTTTCATTTGATTTGTGAATTTATGAAAGAAGTATTTTTTTTTTAATTTAAAAAATGTAATTTGAATGGGATTTTTTTTTCTTAAATCACATGATCGATTATTCAAGCAATTATGAGAGAAATTTCTGTGAAACTGTAAGTCATGTCGGCTCTATATCTTTGGTATCCATTGTTACATTACAATGCAATCTGTGAATGTCACAACCTAAAGTAACGCCACAATGAGCTATAATATACATTTACGAGGCAATCGTGACAAATTTCGATACCTTCCAGACTAAAGGCATATATAATCTTTTGAATATTTTACTGTGTAATCATGTAAATTTTCAGTGATGTCTGCATGTACACTGTATAGGATCATTTGTTGATCATTTAATAAGAAGCAATTTAAATTGATAATTATTGAGGGGATAATCTGAACAATGCATTCTTACAACTTGGGAGATTTACAATTGTAATTTATATAAGACAGGAGTTTAATGCAAAACGATTAATAATGATGGATTATACAACCATATCATGTCAGTCTAGTATTTATGACCGTCTTGTTCAACACTTGAGTTAATGAGATAATGTTTGTTGATCATACATTAACAATATTGAAAGTTAGTCACACGTAATCACACCAACCATTTCTTCAGTTCTACTTCTATGGATCTGGTGAAAAGAAAAGACATGTTGGTATAAACATGATCTCTTTAGATATACAAATGTACATCAATCGATAAAGCAATTATTACAATACGTATTATCATATAAGTAGGTTTCTGGGCGAATCGAGTTTTAGGGACAGCTTACCATTTTATTTATCTCTAATGTTTTTGTTAAATCAATGAATAACAAGATTTTCATGTAGAGTTAAAATTATTGTCAAAAGAAACCCTGTAAAATATACAGCTACAATGAATGCAATAATTTCACAAACGGCAAGGTATTCGATTATAACGGACATCCTGAATTATTTAAAAGTATTCAAATGGACAACGATGAACAATAAATTTTCGCGCCGTTTCTTCTTTTATTTATAAGTATATTTACCAATAGAATGCGTCTGGTAGAACTACATATTTTAACTAGACTACCTCAACAATGAGTGACTGATAATCTAATTTCTCGCGCATTGTAATTCCAGGCATTCTATAGCTACTGGCAACGATAAGCGAGTCATATATAAGTGATAATAAAATGATGAAATCAAATACACAAATTGACTTCGAAATTACTGAAATACAGAAAGCCATATTACTAAATGTAAAAGATAGAGAAAACCCTTCCTCTCCATAACTTCCAATACCCACTCCCGACGACAGCCCCTTTCACAATAGACCTGACCACCAACCCCAAAACAAGACAATACTGGAAATGATCATGCAAGGACCATTACACAACGACTTCACCAAATTTATATAACAATACGCAACATAATTATATATAGACAAACGAAAAGACGCGCTAAAGTCACCGCCCACGTACGACGCACACAATGTATAAATGTATAACACAACGACGGATAAAAATATGAAATGTAATAAAAATCAGTTAAGTCTGTCTTATTTGTAATATCAATTTTACACACCATACAGGGAAATAATAAAAAGAAATAGTAGGAGCCGAACACAGAGCAGTGAGACGTTTTCCCATTGGAGCCCCCTCTCTTCTCACAATGAATTCTCCCTAAGAGTAATTCTGCACTTCCGATTCCGCTATCAACAAAGCTCGAAGGATGTGTATGTGATAACCGGTATATTATCTAAATTGTGGCTGGTTTAGACGACATCAGTAAAATGGGGAGTGTAAACATAGCCGAGATTTCCGTAGATGCCAACTCGGGGTTAATAAGTATCCATAGCCGCCATAAGCTTGAGTTGAATCACAGTAAAGTCATGGGTGCTGTAGCCATACTTCTTGTCGAGCCAACCAATGCGACAGACGGTTCGTCGACTTCGACAGGTAGAGTCCGTTTATAGTCAATTGCGTCCCACCAAAAGATCCAATTAGAGTTAAACACAATGCAACAAATACAAACATTTAACCATGTGCATATTTCTAATACTGTTGGGGTTCACCGGTAAAAAAACTTACGCACACAAACAACATACAAGAAAGTTCAAGCATTACAATTAGCTGTATTTTTGTAAAAAAAAAAAAAAAAAAAAATCAAGACGTTTCCAGAACTCAGTTTTCAAATTTCCTCTTAATATCATTGAAAACAGATAATTGGATCGTCAAAATTTGAGGGAGTCCCACAGAAAACCCTTCATACTAGAAAACCATCAGTCTCGGACTCAAATATCCGAGTCCCAAAAAATCTTGATGTTTTCACGATTTAATAATTCATACTGAGTGAGTGCATGCATCCGTGATAACCTTGTGTCAAAGTCTAGACGTCTCATGGACCTCTGAATATAGTGGTTCACATATATTATGTGTTGAGTGGTTCACATATATAAACATCACAACATCATATATTACCAAGGTCTATACTTGACATGATTTTGGTGGTTAAAAATCATAGTTCATCCATTGAGTACAATGGAAATAAAAAGCTTATATACATTTCATGAACCTTTGAATATAATTAGCTCAGATTCACACCATAACATAAATTTCGTCAGATCTAGGAGCATCATTTGGGAAGAGGAAACACTTTTGTATAAAAGATGGATGTTGACCCAGTGTCCAGAGTGGCAGGCTCACTGGGGAAATGGGGGAAATAGTTTAAAATCCTTCTTTCCCTGGAGAGATGGAAACGTTTGACCAAAGTTGATCTATCATTTGGTAGAAGCTAAGGAATCCAATAATCCAAAAGTTTGAGTGCAAAGGGATGAGGGATGGGAATAAAAGAAAAAAAACTTTGAAGTAATTTTTCTGTAGAGATAAAAGTGATAGTAGATAGGATTCAGCCAGTTTGTTATAAACAAATGGCCTGACCCTCTACTGAAGGAGAGGTAGGGCCCAACAGCAGAAACAGGGGTAAACATTCAATATTCTTCCATAGATTTATTATAGTTTTTATATCAACAGCTATACACCAGTAAGTTACAATCTCATCACGCAAGACACCCGTAGACATCGAGGGATATTAGAAATTCGGTCCCAATAAGTAGTTCATATGATGAGTGAAGGTTCAATATAAATATCTATAATACTAGAAACACTTTGTCTCCTGTGTTCCTACTGCCTCAATGAATCATATTGCTGCCTTTGTGTTAAAGATATATGTTATAACTACAAATGAAGCTATTTCTAAATAATAAAATGTAAATAACTGTTCTGTTTACCAAAGTTGTCAATTCTGTGGTTATAAGGTATCCTATATATTTTTGTAATTAAGAACCACATATTAAAGCAGTTAAATACTGTGTCCTATAAAACCTATGAAAAACATTTTTGCTAGCTGAGTACATTATATCAAAAACACAACTAGTACATTTTTTAAATCACCTTAAAGTCAATACAGTAGCGCCACCTGATTTTGTATATGGCTTGTTCTTAATCTGTCTTGTGTGAATACAATGCTAACCAGGCATTCGATCCAAAGTTGAGAATATTAAATCGTAGATGTGTCGTTTTGACAAACGAAAAACACAAAATATTACCTTTATTTTTTTCTGGTATTTCAGGTGTAAATTCGGCGTCAACATTATCAAGAGGCTGTCATAAAGACGACGTGATCAGTATTGAAGACACGCATTCCGGAGGCACAGGTCATGGAACCCGTATTGTCCCCTCATCAGTGTCACTGATAAGCTCTCCATGCGGTTGGGTCGGAGGGGAGGGATTTGGGAGAGCAGCTACTTGCCACGCGTACGAAAACGGGCCTCAAACTGCGCTAGATCAAGAACACGATGTGTTGAATACTGCACATAACAAGACCAGGTCACACGACAATACTGTTGCAAGAAACGACAGAAACATGGATCAAGAATCACTTCATTACTTCCGGTCATCAACAGATAACTCAGGAGATGGGTTATACGATCAAAATAAGACCAAGCGGACGGAGTATAAGTCTTCCAGGGAAGAGACCTTGCCCACCAAAAATGTTAGTGTCATCGACTTAACGGACGTATCAGTTCGTCAACAGCAAAACAAACACAATACGCATACGCCCGCTGCTACACCCTCTGGTAACTTATATAGAAAGCAATCGTCATCTGGTACTTTCATACGTCCAAACAGAGAGCCTAGAGTATCATTACACTCGAAAACTACTCAGCTGGTACATGCTCCTCGACTCGGTTCACCATTTCTATCGAGAGTGAATTCTCAGCTTCAAAGAAGGAAGCATAGAAACACGAAAATCAGCAAGCTTGTTCAACAACCTACGAACCAGCGTGCGAATGATGCAAAGTGCTGCGTTTGTGCTGAAGTATTGACAAGTTTTGCAGACAACCAGTCACATAGCATCAAACACGACTTGCAAAATCAATGTGTGGTGTGCGGAATAAAGCTGTCGGTAACTAGTAACTTACGGAGGCATTTTCTAGGTCATATCCACAACATCGCATTCACGTGTCCCTTCTGTACTGCAATGTACAGACGAAAAGATAATCTTACATCACATCTCTTTCAGAAACATAACATTAATTCAATGCAGAGGAGATCTCAACAGTTGATTGCAAGAATGGGAAAAGTCCCTAAACAGATTCAGGGAATCGATGACACAAGTCAGTCTTCAGCGCACAATATCTCTGAACGTCAAGATGTTGTAGAAGTAACAAGTGATCCTCCTAATTCTGGAAACGAAAATGTGGTTTCTACAGCAAGCAGATCCGCAGAGAGCCCAATGCTTATACCAATGGAAACCAATGTACCATCCGAATTACAACAGTTGGTGACGAGAATACCAGACTCCAGCGCCAAAGAAGTAGGACAATCCAACCAATCTCCAATACAGATCAAGGATGAACCGGAAGGGAATTCCGGTAGCTCAGACTTTTGTTCGGCACCGCAAGTGATGCACGGAAACCAACAAGTAGAAAGAGACCAGACAGAATCTACTGATTTATATTCTTCAGGAGGAATTCAAGAATCAAACGATATTCTCACGACAGATGCTGCACACCAGATAAATACAAGTTCCATATTGAACTACAGTTGTAGTACATGTGACGTTAAGTTTCCCCAACTCGAGAAACTTCAGGACCACGTTGCTGCGTTTCATTCAGACCAAGTGCCCACATGTGTCGCTGATAGTGACACAGGTACGACGAATGGCCACACACTAGTCAGTACTACCGACTCGACAGTTCTCAGTGTCTCGGCGGAAGGGCAAGCGTTATATCTCTATAGCGAGACACGAGGATCCGAAACTAGTCTAGAACAAGAAAACATCAGAATGGCAATGAGTAGTGGCAATAAGCAACACGAAGAAGTCATAGACATCGAAAATTTGAGCGACATGTCAAATTTTCAACATACCGAATCTACATTGATGCAACAAGCTGGATATTCCAGCAACAGGCAAGGGGATATATTAGCAAAAGCGACTGACTTCTTAGGAAGTGTATATTCAAGCTTCATTCCTCCGAGCTACGAGTCTTCACCTTCGAGCAACATGAACCAAAGTATGGAAAGTCCTAACACAAGTTTCTCGCCGGGAAGAAATAGAATAAGTAAGGGTAATAACAAGTGTTTGGTGTGCGGCTTGTTATTGTCAACATGGGAAGCAATCATGGAACATGGAGAACAGCACGCCAGTGTGCTTTCCAATCAATATGGACCCGGGAAGAGATTCCCTTGTGTAGTGTGCCAGACACCGCTCAGTACTAAAGACTCTCTGAGGCGACACGCAGTCAACCACATGGGAGTACAACACTTCTGTACAATGTGTTCCGCTGTGTACAGCAGACGTGACAACCTTCTGAAACATATGAGGGATACACACGGCGTCCACACACCAAGGGCTTAAATGAGACGACCTTACCTGTGGTATAGCATGCACGTCCATTCAAAAACGTTCCATTTCTAAAGAGGAACGTTAGTCATGTGAATAAATTGTTCTAGATGCATTAAATCATTAATGTAATCTGACATCAGTTTCATCTTGATGTCATCTTGTGACCTTAAGGAAGAGCGACACTACATTATTTACCAACATAGTTAAACAAACGATTTTGACATTCAAATTTTCTAGTTGTAGATATCTGTTTGGGTTTGTTACTGAAATGATTTCTGTATAAAATGCATTCTAGGCGGAAGCTGTTTCCTAATTTATTTTCTGCTTCTGTACATTAAATGCGAACTATAGAACTGCCATATTTTCAGTATCCATAAGAAGATATCCTTAGTTCTTCTGTAATTAATTAGAGTTTTATGAAGTTAATGTGGCTGCCACGGGTAGCCATAAAATCCTTTATTCTGCTTTTGTATGTGCTCATTACTGTTTAAATGAATACAATAAAAAATACCTATAATTATACGTCTATGATATTAACCTGTCATTTCACAAGGGGACAGTCCCAAAAGTTGTGATGACGACCTCGATATCTCTCTCAGCTCTGTGGCCTGTTGGTTTGGCGCCGTCTTTCGAATGAATCTGAAGTTGATATGGCATTTGTCCGACTATAACAGTTTCTGTCATACTTTTTAGCTAAGAGTTTGAAGACAGGATATTGGATGTTTACATTTTACAAAGTCTGAAAAATATTTTTCTTGACAGGATATACCGGAAGTATATGAGTTTGACGTTTTAGGAAAGTTGAGGCAGGATATTGAACTGAGCTGTTATAAATACACTAATACCGCACCGGTATAGGACTTATTTCTTTGTGATTTTTCTTCGTTTATAACCATTTTATATCTGATGGAGATAGTTTAACCTTTCCCGTGTCATAAGCAGGCACCTGTCTGAATAGTGAATACCAATTAATTCTTGGTAAAATGTATGATACAAGTATCTTTAAAATCTAAAGCATATTGGCGTTTAGTAAGCTCACTTAAATCTATGTAAACTCTCCGGAGACTTTTACCATGACTAAGGACATTCCTCTGTTTATTATATATATCTTCTCATAGAAGATCATCGCAGGCCTCCATTAAATCCCCCTCAAAATGTATTCGATACGAAAATCACATACTTGAGTACGTTTTGAATGTGTATGTCATTTCACAAAACTTTACTTATGTCTATGATGAAAACTCAATTCATTTGCCTGAAATTGTGATTGTTGACGATATAAAAAATGTAAATGTGCAGTACGGAATTATCAATGTCTAGACGAGTACAGTAATACAATCTCCAAACTGATAAAAATTTGATGTCAGATGTCATCTCGCCGCCAATATAAGCTATCATAACGAAGGTCTCGGCATTGTTGTTGTCTTGACAACCCAGAATGCATCATCACACCACCAACTTAAAGCGACGAATACAAATTTGAGTATGGTCTTCCAGTCATTTTGTATGTAAAAGAACAAGAAGTTTAAATGATGAACAACGGTGTGCAGTACGGAAGAAGGGCAGCTTAAAATAACCATCAAAGAACCATTCTTAACATATATATGTATACACAAGTTTCAATGGCGTCACCTCATCGGTACCGGCGACACTGATGTTTCCACTGTAACAAATTATCACTTGTAAGGTGGCTGGAATGACGATATAGTCCCTCTTTTTGGCTCTAGACATTTTCCTTTTTCAGCGACCTTTCGAAATAACACAAAAAAGCATCACTCAAGATAACGACATGTAGTCGAAGTGACAAAACGAAGATAATTATTTCTGGTCGAGAAGCGACAGAACTATGGTGCTTAGAGAGACGAAATATATCGAGTCATCAAACAGGGGCGTTAAGTTTTCAGTGTCTCCTGTTGCTTTCATTATGCATTCCCCGATACATTTAACTATTTTTGTGCTGATCAGTAAATACATGGTGTACAGCTGTTTTGATTTGCTTCTGTAATTTTATCATGCCTCGATATTTCGCTTGTGTTTTGTTTATAACTTGTTATACATGTTTGGTAGTAAATTAGCTCTACAGAGCTAATGATTTTAGTGGACATAACCGAATGTCAAAAAGTAAATATCTTGCCATACCCATGCCTACTACTCCATTTCGCGCAGGAAAATCAAAGAAAAACCCAGTGCAGGACTTTATTTTCATGGAAAGTGTACAATTTTCACATTTATACATGCATTTATACATGCACACATGCTATACAACATCATGTAAGCAACAGCTGAAATTGAAATGTGTCTTCCTATTAACATGTTGGACAGATATTGAAGAGTGCGTCGATTTATTCGTTGCTTGTTCGTCTCAGTTATATTATAGGTTTCGCATTTCCCTTTAACATCTTGTATTATGAAGTTTACATAAACAACTATTATTTTTCACTACTTTTATAATACCTCTACACTTCACAATCATTACTCAAATAAGACCGATTATCAAACTAGGAAACTACCACATCATAGGAGACTGCCACTGTCACTACAGTCTGGCAGAATTGACGTCACGGATTTTGAGTGCCAAAAAAATTCCGAAAGCTATCGGAGAAAGCCGAACCGCGGACGGGTAAATATCAAACTCACTTGTAGCTGAACGCAGTCGTCTAAAATCATATTGAGATGTGAAAATCGATTCAGGGTACTACATTGTACTTCGGTAATATTTTGTCAAAACAGTGTTGTTGACCTTTAAGGCATACATCCAGGCCCGTATAAGCACAGTGAAGCGATACACCGCGTCATCGTGTATACATCTTGTGTGTGATAAAACTATTTTGACGTGTTTTTTTAAACTGACCAATCAGCATTGGTATGATACAATTCCAGAAAACTCCTGATATAAGAAAAAAGTTGATATCCTCTTACTGTATGTTTAACTGTACATGTCTGCGTATACATGTACACATGGACGTACAATACTCTAAAGGACGCAAAAATGTCTTAAAATAGAGTCATCCTTAATACAGGAGTTTTGTACATATATAGGTTAGTGTTCTATGGATGGATGAAGAAAGAATTCAGGAGAAACCTTAGACAAGCTTTCGATAGATACATGTCTGATCAATTAAAAGAAATTGAGCGAGCAAATGACATAGATCAGAAACTTTTTTTTGGCATTTAATCAGAAATAAAACGACAAAACAAAGACGTTGCCAAACTGAATTTAAATTTGACAGAAAAACTTTCAGAGACCCGGAAATTATTGTAGATAAATGGGCTTCTCATTTTGAGAGAATTTTTAAAGATGATTCTAATAGTATATTTAATGAAAACTTTAGGATTCATATATCAAGTAAAGTGAAAGAAGTAGAAAGAAAAGATTTGGAAGATGAGAGATTCTTAAAAGATCCAATCACGCAAGCTGAAATCGAAATAATCTGCAGGAATCTAAAATCAAATAAGGCAGGAGGTATGGACGATCTAGTATATGAGCACTTGAAATTAGGAAACTCAGACCTTTTTGCTCATTTATCAAAGTTATTCAATGCAGTAGTTGAGAGTCAATATATACCATATGGATGGAAGAAGGGGACTATTATCACATTGTACAAAGGTCATCCTAAACCTAAGGATGATCCTAATAGTTATAGGGGGTTAACTCTTCTACCAGTCATCTTTAAAGTGTTCGAAATGATTTCAGCGAATAGATTGGAACCAGTTCTTTCTTCTGTTTCTTTTCCAAATAAGCAACAATCAGCTTACCAGAAAGGGCTCTGTAGTTTGTTAACCTCATTTAACCTGCAGGAATGTATACATTATAATGTAGAAAGGGAAGAAAACGTTTTTGTAGCCTTTTTAGACAGTAACAAAGCTTTTGACACTGTAAGGCATAACGGTTTACTTTATAAGTTATATCAATTGGGAATAACTGCTAAGTCATGGCACATTTTGAAAGCAATATATACAGACATAAGAAGTAGTGTCTTATTTAATGGTTTAAGATCAAGATGGATAAAGATGGAAAGGGGGATCTTACAGGGGAGCGCATTATCTGCAAAAATGTATCTCGTCTTCATTAATGATTTACTATATTGTGTTGAAAAATGTGGAATGGGTGCTATTATTGCCGATTTAAGAATTAATATACCAACACAGGTAGATGATATTTGTCTAGTCAGTACACAACGTAAAAGTATGCAACACATGTTAAGCGTGTGTGAAGATTATAGTAAAAAGTGGCGCTTTGTGTTTTCTGCAGTGAAAAGTAATATTATGTGTATTTCTAGAAGAAAGCAGAAAGGGTCAAGTATACAACTGTATCTGTATGAGCATCCTCTTCCAGTAGTAGAAAATATAACGCATGTTGGTGTCATGTTAAACAATAATTTCAACAGTACAGAACGTACAATACGTGCAAGCAACAGATTAAAGAGTGGTGTGATGAGCCTCATTAAGTGCGGTGCTCATCCTTGTGCATTAAACCCCATAACAGTAAGTACAATAAGTAAAACAAGAATTTATCCAACAGCCCTTTATGGCTGTGAATTATGGTGTCTTGCAAAAGCAGAACTTTTAATGTTAGAAAGAACTCAACGTTTTATTCTCAAATCGATTCAGGGGTTCCATATGAGGACTCGAACGGATATGTGTAGCAGCTTGCTTGGTTGGCTTAGCTTAGAATCATATATAGATATTAGGAAGCTAACATTTTTGGAAGATTGTGTAATTAAGGGAAAGAGAGTGTGTCTTGTACTGTATGTTTTACTCGCCTTTTTATGGCGGACGTAAGCACTAATATGCATGAAAGTAATTTGAATGATCGCGGATTCATGAATGATGTTGTTCGAGTTTTGAGAAAATATGATCTGTATGAAATGGTAAAAGAATGTTTAGCACGCGGATCGTTCCCTTCAAAAAGTAAATGGAAGAACAAAGTAAAATGTACTGTACATTCACACGAAGAAAACTCGTGGAAAGAAAGAATGGATGATGACCGCGAGTTCTATAGATTTAAATTAATTCATAATAAACTAGCTCCCCACATATTGTGGAAGCTATTAATTAAGTTTCCTCAGAATAAGGAATCCATAGGTAGTATTATGAAACTTATTGTGTCCATCAGAAATGTAAACACAGTTGAATTATGTCACAGATGTGGCCAAACGTATGAAGATGTGTATACACATATAGTCTTACAGTGCAATTTTACTGAAGAAATTCGAGATCAATTATGGTGTCAAATGATCAGTATCAGTGATCATGAGTTTAGCGTATATTTACATGATCACTCAGATTTTGACCTATTCCATATCTTGATTGGTGGAGAAAAAATGTATGAATTGAATTTAAAAGAAATATCACAGTTTTACCTTAATTCAGTCCATTATGTTTCAAAAATGCTTAAAGCATATTATTGCTAAAATGTATATGATACAAATTACATCTAAAGAATTATCATTAAGTACAATATATATATATATAAGTAATGTAATTATGATGCATCTTATATGTTGCTTTGGTATTTTGTAACTATTTAATCATTAATAATATAGCTGTTAAGGATTGTGCGTATGTTTTACTCCTTCTCCGCTTTATTCTATTTGCATTTTAAAAACATTCTTGAAAATCAATATTGTGGTAGTGATATATACCTTATGTGTTCGGTATTGTTTAGGCATTCTTCGGTTATGTATTTTATTGCGTATGGTTCATTGGGAAACCCTCTTTTGTGCCTCAGGTGTCAATTAACGAATTCACTACAGGTGTCAACTTCCGGACGCCTATTTCCGGTTTTCGGCGGCAAGGATTTGTTAACAACAAGTCGTGACACAGAAACAAACCAGACAAAGTTTACCATGGCTGATCCAACAATGAAACAGTTAAAAATTCAAACAGGAGTAGTAAAAAGGTAAGATGTATTCAATTTTCAATCCATTGTTTATATTGAGAGGAAAAAAATCACACGCCATTCTACAGGCAAGTTCCGTTGTCAACGGTTTTAAACATCACTGCAGTGTAACAACGTACTGTCATTGTACCAGACTACCACATGCGCGTTTGGGATTGCATTCTTTAACAATGTCTTTCGATTGATTCAAGTGACAAGATATGTTGTAAATTCATCAATGTCATATGTCATCGTTTCGTTCTGAATCATCTATAAAAATAGCGTGTGCGCATAGACTTGTACAAGCCCCACAATAAGATAATAATTTAAATAAAAGGTATATGTACGAAGGCATTGTTATGCCTCTATATCCATATCAATGATTATACATAAAAAAGAAATATAATTAATGTTCGCTTCGGGTTATAGATCTGAAGCTAGCAAGATGGTTTGATAGTAGTTCTAAGCAATTCCAATAGTTGTCCAGATTAATTTAAAGTCTTTATGGTTGTTGCTTCTACAAATGAACCCGGTGTTGGCTGTTCCACACATCAACAATTCTAGGCCCAAGAGAGTATTTTCTGTAGTTTTTGTGAGTTGCTTCTTCTTCTGGCTCCTAAGGGATGGTCGAATATCACATGCTCATAATTTTGAAAACTTTTATCACATCTCCCCTTAGTCTCCTATATGTAACTGTTGGAATACCCATCTTCTTCACTATATGGTAGATCTTTGAGAGCAGGAATTGGCTTTGTCACCCATCTTTGCACTCTCTTGATTCATTGTCTTTCACCTAGTGTGGGCGATACACAATAGCAATATATTCCAAAGGTAGGCAAACTATTGCCTGAGATAATTGTAGAAAACTAATCTCATCCAAGTATACAAAAGATCTTTGAATTTGGCCAACTATACTATTTGCTTACTTATTGCTTGTTGAATGTGTGAGGAAAAGTTCTAAGTCCTTGTCCACTAAAATTCCTACGTCCTTCTTAGATGTGATGTTTCTTAATCTCAATTTTCCTGCAAAGTATATATAAGTTCTGAAAAACCCATGAGAAAGGAAACACTATCTCAAACTCAGTTTAGGTGCCATTTCTTTCATTGAAATATGGCACATTCATATTGTGCATTGGTATCAGGAAACGGTTAATTTGATATTTTTCTGAAATTATTGGTCATGTTTGAGATATACAGGTATAGCAGTTAGGCAATGAAAAGTACATTCTCACTTATACATATATTTATAAACTTCATAAAAATTACATTAATAGTAGAGAAATAAAAATTGTGTAACTAAAAAAAATTTCTCTGATTTCTGACACCTGATTGCCATGATTACCAATTCAGAAAATGCTGAAAATGCAAAAATACTACTAATTCCAACCTAACACTACAACTTTAAAGAAAAAAATTATATCTGAACACCTGTCTTAAAATCAACAACATTTTCATGGTAACACACTACTTACATTTTAGCAAATTCCTACTCGGAACACCTCTACAACATGACCAGTGTAATCACTAGGAAAGTTTCATTTCTTGTAAAGCTAGTTTTTGGTGTGTAGACACAGATTCGTGACTGCCCAAATAGTAATCTCCAACACTATGCAAAAATATTATTCTGAAAGATATGAAAACCCAACATGTTACTTCAATATGACAAGACCAAATTTAGCTAGTATTGAATCTTAAAAATTTTAATTAAAACCTTTACAATGGGGTAATCTAAAGAATAAAAATATCACCATGGTCACTCCGAGAAACTATGTACTGCTACCATTGCATGGTTTAGTGAGTCAGGAGAGACCAGTCACTCTACACAGTATACACTTTAACTTAACAATGAACAGGTGATCATACCATTTAGTGAATGTCATTGCCAGATTGCTTATCCAAGGTAAAGTAAAATATAAATAAGTACCGGTAATGATAATGAGAATAATGGCAAAGCCATTTTGAGTGAGTGTAGTATTATAACTTGGTAAACAAACGTGACAAAATATTTGGCAACAATTGTCACTTAACCTAAAGTTTGAGGAACTCTTCCTTCCTTGAATATTGTATTTATTGTGTTCTTAATAGTTCACAGTGTAGGTTTGTCCTGGTTTATCCTTTCGGACAAGCTCTGTATGTTTACTGAATAAGATACTAATTGCTTAATCTCGTTCAGCAACACTCTTGTTGTTTGCACACATGATGAAGCATCTTGGTGGGTGAGACTATTTGTTGCTATGTCTACCATTGATGCAAAGCATTACTGAGAATTCCACTTCCGTGTCACAACTTCATGCCTGATAGTATGTGTGAAAATGTTCACACTTTTGCTTTACACATGTTATATTTAAGGTTTGCTTTTCAGACGGCCCCTGCAGGACTGATCAAGTTATGCTCACTATAGATATTTATGATAGTGATAAACTTCAGTTAGTGAAATGCTAATGGAATAGATAGCAATAGGCTTTAGTATTTTCGGGTAATTTCTGCTTCTTTCATTTAATATATACTCATAATTGAAGCCAGCAATTATAAAAATTATAAATACTTTAGTTTTGTAACTTTAGCTAATAATTTCAGTTATAGAAAGGATTATCTTATATGAAATAGGCTATACCTAAACGTTAGTGCAAGTTGATCAACAAGATTCACATTTTGGACTGTTGGCTCAGTGAAGCATGATTTTTTTATTTGGTGAAATTTTGCATGATTTTAACAAGACACATGTTGACGTGTTATCATTGTCTTCTTATAGACAACATTGCATCAACATCAGGTGGTAGTCAGGTGGTGTCGTGGTTACACACTCGTCTTTAGTTCTCTAGGGTTTGATTCCCTGAATGGATTTAGGTTTGGAGGTAATTACATGTAGTTCAGAGTAGGAGGGAAGTTAAGAGTAAGAGGGAAGGGGGAAATGGATTGTAGTGGTGGTATTTGAAAAAAAGTCCACTTTTGCATGATGACCATCTCAAAGAATGGAAACTGATGTAATGAAAATTACAACTACATGAATTATGCTGTATTTTATCATTGCATACTGAGGGTAATATGTGTAACTATTTATGTAAATAGGGTGCATTATTCTTTTATTTTTTATCTATTTTTTACGATGTCTTCAATTCATACACAAATTTATCTGTAAGCATTTTCCCTTTACTACAGCTTTTGACTTTACAAATAAACAAGGTTAACAAGATTAATGAATTGATATTTAATAACCTGAGTAAGTTGTGTTCAGTCACTGTTTTATATGCAGAATAACCTGATTGTCAACTTTATTTTATCTGATGAACGTCCAAAAGGTCTTTATAGCGGATGTTAAACTGCTTAAATAAATGAATAAATAAAGTCAACTTTATAAAATGGAATGTTGTTATATCTGATCTTACAGCAACATATCTAGACTTTGAATTACTTGTTTGTTAAATTTGTTAGAATTATTTCAGATTTTTGTATGACTTTATTTCCACATGAAAGCTTGAAAAGATATTTTGTCCAACAAAATATTTTTTCAATCTATTTGACTGTTCACATTATATGCTGCAGTAGGTGTATTGTGGGTATTGAAGTTCCAGCCACACCTTTATTTTAAAGTTGAATGTATGGGCAGTGAGCTTGTTGGTATTGAATCGCCACACAAAATACCATAAAGCACTTGCTGTTGAATCAGAATAGAGTTTAAGGTATAGATTTTAAACTTGAAAGATCAAACTACTTGTTTATTGTAAATTCAGGAATGCTGATAAGGATACAAGTAGGTTCCATAACTGTTCAATTTTTTGCACAATATCCTCTGATATTCTTGAACAGTCAGGCCGTGTGTCATTGTATTTTGAAACATGCATGTGAAGCAAAAATATATTTTAGTTTTTAGCTGACCTACTTTTTGGCAGGTAAGCTCATGCCAAGGTGCTATTTCCATCATTTGTGTGGTGTCAAACCTTTTCTTTTAAAGGACTTCTCAACAACCAAATGACTCAAGGTACTGATATTGGGCCTGTAGCATACTGGGATGAAAGGCTTCCAAGTTTGTTCAAAGGAATGACCCTGGCCACTTTCAAGATCATAGGGCTCAAATGTATTACAACTTCTTCTCAATAAGTAAAAGGCCCAGGGTGCATGTATTGGTTCTGTAACATACTTGAATGACAAGCTATAAAGTTTACCTGTATTCTACAGATTGATCTTGACCCAGTTTCAAGGTCACAGATATCAAATATATTTAAATCTCCCCATTTTTTTCTTTGTCTCATTAATTGAAATGCCCAAGGACTTTGGTTCACTATCATGCTGAGATGAGCCCTGGGCTACCAAGTTTCATCAAGTGATTAACATTTGTCTCATGTCTCACAAACATAGTCACATGGGTCCTATGACTTAACATCTTGAAATATCTTCTATTAACAAACAGTAGGTCCTGGGTCATGGTATTTGGTGAAAAGCATGTTTGAAAGATTGTATGAGTTGACTTAATGAACTGACAAAGTCGTCTGTGTAAGCTTCAGAAATGGTGAATAACTCAAGCTCATTTGGCCTCTTGTTTATTACAGAATAACAAAGGAAAGATATGCATATGAAAAAGAGGCAGAAATGATAGAAAAAAAGGTTGAGAAAATGAAAGCTGAAGGCAAGGATGAATATGATATAAGGAAACAGGTAAAGTATTAGCCATTTTTATCTGTAATAAATTAGAATCATAATTTAAATTCAATAAAAAATAAGGCAAAATAAAAACAAAAGAAAGATTTGCCTGGAGACTCCTGAAAGTCTGAATAATACAAAGATATTGAGACCAAGTGTTCTGGAGGTTAAGGGTCTTCACTCACAGACTTGTAGTCAGTTTTCAGAATGATGGAAGTAGGGGTTTTTGTTTTTTCAGATTATACTTTCAAAACTCAAACATCTTGTGTATAATACATTAAAAGTTAAATATTTGTCATGGTTAGGATGAACGAGCAAGAATGACTTTTTTCATTAATATACACGTAAATAACTTTAGTGAGAAGTGTTTGTTTAGTACTATAAAATCTTTTGGATTAGATATAGATATAAGGTGGAAATGTTAGTTTAGAATGACAGAAGTAGAGATTAGAAGAACTGCAATACTCAGATAAAAATTTCGTTTGTAGACTTATACTCCATCAAAAGTATTCAAATTGACATTAAATTTTGTCTACGTCTTCGATTTATAATGTATATTATTGCACCAGGCAATTGGAATTTTCATTTATTGCAGGTTCAGTTTATTGGTATCTTATGCCTAAAAGGGTAGAAGCGGGATGTTTGTGATTTTTTCATCCACTTGGAGATCATGTGAAAATATAATGTAGTGTTCAGTCTCTCACTCTTGGGCCATTTTTTTAAAAAAAATCTGTCCAAATCAGAAGCGCATGATACAGAAATATTTGAATGACAGTGTGAGGGGAAATCTTTACTGAATTTTTATCCCACTATCATCAGATGGTGGGCTATTCAAATCGCTCAGCGACCGTGGTCTGCCCGCCATCGTCCAGGGGTCCTTGCGTCCTTCTGTCGTCAATACCTCCAACCGTCCATCCATCATCCTTCTGTCTGTAAACAATTTTTGTTATCGCTATTTCTTGAAAAGTACTGGATGGATCTTTCTCAAATTGCATATGTGGGATTCTGTTGGATCCTAGTTGTGCCTGTTTGATTTTTGGGACTGATAAAAACATGAAAATGACCGACAGGCAGTCATCTTGGATTTTTTCAATGTAATATGTAATTGTTACTTCTTGAAAAGTGAGAGATAGGTCTCTCTCATATTTCACATGTAGGTTCCCCTTGGTCTCTAGTTGTGCCCGTGTAATTTTGGGTCTGTTCAGGAAAACAAAGTGGCCGACAGATGGCCATCATGGATTTTAACTTTTAAAGTTTATTATTGCTATTCCTTGAGAAGTACTGCATGGATCTTTTTAAATATCATATGTAGGTTCCTCTTTGTCCCTAGTTGTGGCCATTCGATTTTGGGTCTGATAAAAAAAACAAAATGGCCGAAAAATGGCCATCATGGATTTTGAATTTGAAAGTTTGTTATCACTATTTCTTGAGAACTGCTTCATAGATCTTTCTCACATTTGGTACTGATCAGAAAATCAAAATGGACAACAGGCAGCCATCTTTGATTTTGCTTAGTAAAGATTATTATTGCTGTTTCTTAAGAAGTACTAAATGGATGTCTCGCAAAATTCCATATGTGTGTTCCCTTTAGTCTCTCCTTGTGCTCTTTTGATTTTGGGGCCGATCAGAAGAAATAAAATGGCTTCTAGACAGCCATTTTGGTTTTGGCAGGTTAAGATTATCATTGCTATTTCTGCAAAGGGATGTTCTAATGTCTTATCATTAAGAGCAAAAACAGAGAAGAGAAAAGAAGGGAAAAGATCCAACTTTCAAAGAGCATATAAAGATCAAACAATGGTGGACGCCAAGATCCCTCAATTACATTTTCAGCCTTTTTTTGAAAACTCTTCAGAATAGTAGTAATTCAAGAGGAAACAGTTAAAATACAATTGTAACGTCAACCATTAAAGTCCCAGGTGAAAACATGTTCTAATAGTCTGTTGAAAAATGAGACTCCAAAATAGATTTCCCCATTGCATTTATGTAGGCATACATGACACTTCTGTCAGTTTCTTAGAATTAGCAGTTTATTTTGATGCTTCTTAAATTTCTGATGCTATTAAAATTTTCATCTTAAAATAAATACTTGTTTATGGATAAAATTGTCAGTGATATGATTTAAGGTGTAATATATTGCAATAATTTGTGCAATTGCATATAAAATTGATTGTCCAAACTTGGAAATGCTTGTTTGTTTCCAAGTCTTCTGCATAACTAATGAGTAATGTCATTTTTTGAAAAAAAAAGAATTGGTAAGGCATAGGAAATGGTCTAGTTCTGTTGCGACTTTCTCCCTTCCTTTCATATTTAAACATCATTTATAGGCTCCAGCCTTCATTATTTGACAAAACTAATGTAAATTTTATGTGAATAGTTCACCTGGTTTTGTCAGTGTTCTATTCTGTGTATGTATATAGTGCCCATTTGTAAATATCAAGCAGCACTTGTAATCTTTATTTCTTGCAGGAGGAAGTTCTGGAAGAAAGCAGGAGTATGATGCCAGATACAAAGAGAAGACTTAAAAAAGGAATTGACAGTCTAATTGACTGCATGGTAATTATTGAAAATATGTCTCAAATGCAGGATAAATTAATATTCCAATCAGTAGGTAATTTAGAATCTACTGCATTAGAAATAGCTCAGTTGGTTCCAGGTCATTGGTTTATGTAACGACTGTTGAAAGATACGAGGTGTAGTTTGACAACCCAACCTGATGTTGTAAAGTACATCTTATGCCAAATGGACAAGCAGTGATTTGTAAAGGATTTTAAATTTAAAAATTTTCAAGAGTCCCACAAGTGACATATAAAGTTGGGGTCTCAAAATTTGAGAGAGTTCCAAAGGATAAGCATAAGTCCAGAACTCAAATATCTGAGTCCCCAAAAACATTGGACAATCTGTGCTGACATGATTGTATCTATGGCAAGACACTTTACCCTTTTTGCTCTGAATGACATGCAGTGGTCTTCCCTTATGTTGTTCCTGCTGTAAAAAGGAAACCTGGCCTCAAATTGACCTTGGCTGTTCATGGGATGATAAAGCCAGGAAACAAATTGGCACACTTTAGAATCAGAATTTTATAAAAACTTAATTCACTTAGTGCATGCTGAATAACTAGGTGTTACAAGAACACTTTCAGTTTAAGGCTGGGTCTGAAGTAAAAAGGATAGCTTTATTATGTTATAGACAATTGCTATAGCTATGTAAACAGTACTGCATCAACATTATACTGTAGAACTTATCATTAGTCAGATAGTATTTACAAAAGCGCATGTAGTACAAGATGATTATATCTCTCCCCAGCCATCTGCCAGTAGCAAGGATCAGTGTTATAGATATATAAAACAGTTAATTGAAAATCAAGCTGAGGTTGTCACTTGTTCACTGCTTTTGTCTTAATATTTATAGTTATCACACAGCCAAAACAAAATAACAAAAATTGATTGAACATTTCATGTTAAATGATTTGTAAGAGTTATTCCCCTTCTTGTTATTTTGTTTCTTCAGAAAAAATTCGAGCAAGAGCAAACTACAGAGGAGTACAAAACTGCTGAAGAAGTGCTTGATGAAGCAAAGAAAGCAATGGAATGAATCATTAAAGAAAGTTCCTGTGATAATGATAGAATGTAATCTGTTTATCAAATGTTTTGTTAAAGGTTTTCATAGAATTCATGTATGCTTTAAGATTGTGTGATTGTGGAGAAACGATTTTAGGAATCCATTATAAACGGTACATCACTATACAAGATAAACATTTGTACATGAGAATGGACCTCTGAAAGAATCAGAACATAATTGGAAAGCCTGCAAAAGAATGAATGTCAGTGTGATTTATATACATATGTAATAAGGAACATTAAAAGATAGTGTTTATGATAGTATTATCATTAGCTGTGTTGTTATACGATGCAATTGGTTGATTTGTTTCTGTATAATTAAGATAATTCTCCAAAAAATGTTGTAATGGCCTGGAAATGGGAATTTTGTGATGGGATCAAGGCAATGACCCAAAACAAACCACATCTGGTAATATTCCAGGAATTTTATTGACAGAGCAAAAATGATTTAATTAACATCAAGTTCCAATTCCATATTTATAGTTAAAGTGCCATTGTCATGCATAGTATGCTGTAAAGATATCAATCCTGGTGTGTTTTTTTCATGAATCTGTATGATTTTATTTCCATATTAATGGTTTTTTCAATACTGATGCAATAGAAAGACTGCCTCGCATTTTGAGTGGAATTATGGTTGAGTCCTAGAAGTCCTATTTATCTTTTGGTCTTAAATAAGTTGAAATACTTGCTAAGAGAACTGATTGTACTTTGTATTAAACACTTAATTCTTGGTTGTAAATTGTGATGAAAATTAAGATATCATAATATGTATATTTTTCAGGTGTATTTAAACAAAATCATTCTATTGTGTGAAGTTATATCTTAATGTTTATTCTATGAGTGTATTACTCTGTGTACTTTACATAATTACAAATTCAGTTACACATCTAATTTAAACATTTCATTTCCATTTAATTAAAATGCTCTGATCTTTTCTTGGAGTATGTGTTTTTTAGCCAAATAACATCATGCATGAGATGCTTGACCATCCTGTAATGTAATAACTTTCAGTACTTTTCTATGAGACCCATGCCTATGCCTTTTTGGCACAGATCCGAAACTAAAATGATTGATTTTGTGTCCGCCTTATAACACAAGTCAGTAGTCCATGGCCCATCGTTTGTGGGCATTGCCCATATTGGGTTTCAGCTGGAAAAGTTTATCACTACTTTTCAAAAGTCATCAACAGTTATAAGTTCAAACTTTATTGGTGTTTTTACTGCTTGGTGGGTAGTTGGAATTTAGTAATATTCAGCATGATCCAGTTTTCAACATGACTGCCATGGTATCCATCATGTTTTTGCTATGTATTAATAGTGAACCTTTTATTGAGATCATGAAGGATGATCAAAATTTGGTCAATTGGTACATCCTGGGAAGTTGGAATTTATGTCATTCTGACCTATCTTTTGATTTTTGACCTTGTTCAGAGAAAAGTTTTATAGCTCATACCTGCAGTGTAGAAACATCTTGGACGGGAGGTAATTTGTATCAATGTATCACATTGATGTATTCACATCTTAACATTACACTAAGTTCTATACCTAGCAACTGTAATGTGGTTATCAGACAAGACCACATACCAAATGCCACACATGACCATTATTGAAATAAAAAAAACTGATGTTCCAAATTTCTCGTGTATTTCAAAATCCCAAAATGTCTCCCGAGGCACTTGATATGATTAGTTCATATTCACACCTATCACGTCATCAAGTTCAGCACTTGATCCGATTTCAGTGCTCATCGTCCGAATTTTTCTTATTTTCATATCTGACTCGAACGACGATTGTTAATGAGTTTGATGATCCTGAAAATGACGCCAGGAACAGAGTGTGACCCTGAAAGGTCACCCGAATATCAATATTATTGGCGTTAGGAATGCTGAGCGAGGGAACCCAGATATGTAGAGTATGCATGAACAGCATTGAATTATAGTACTTTTCTTGCTTGAATCAATATGACAGAATTTTCAAAACACCGTATCATTATCCTGTGAATCTCTCTCCTTACCAGTGTCGAGATTGGAATCGGAAAAGTGTCATGAGTAAAGGCTCTGTAGTTTTTCAAATCATTCGCACAGAAGTTTATTTCAACGTCATGAAATGAATGATACATTTTTTTGATGTTATCACGAATTTTAAACCGTATTTTGTTCTAGAATTATCTGATACATGAAAATTACGAAATTCGGTAAATTATGGGGCTGAAGCATCTCCCTGTCTAGATTTTGACTTGTCTTTCGATCACTTTTGTTTTTCCTCTGTCGCCTCCTAGGCTTCAAAATTTAGGCCCTTAACATCACTTACGAGTCCTAGAAGGACGAAACAGCTGTATGATGCAGTATCTAACTCTCAATTAGTAAAAAGTGCTTTTCACTTGTTTGTCTTTTGTACAATCTTTGCAGAAATAACAATGCATAAAGTGATCAATTTGTTCAATAGTGTTTTTGACATTGGATACAAATACACAAGCACAGAAAAAAGGGTAAGCATGCTTTCTTGACCAATGCCTTCACGTTAGAAAATGGCAATAGTATACTTTGTAAAATCCACTGGATGATCAAAATCATTGAAGTGTGAAAGTCTGTACTAACATAAGAGATCCAAGAGGTTTTCCTCGACGATCGGATCTTTTCAAAAACTGGCATCTGTTCCTTAGATTCTCAGAACTCAGAATTCACCAAATTTTGCTATTTATCAACTTGACCATAATGCCTCGGCTGACACAAATACAAAGGAAAAGGGATGAAGATATGATCCAGGAGGGAAAGCCTCAGGCTCGAATAGTACTACATTTTGGTTGCATTGTTAAGGCACTGTACCAGTTTAAAAATAACTAAAATTTAACTTGGTAAACATCCGATCGTCCTCGAAGCGAACAGAACAGGACTGCATTTGGCTGCAGCAGTGTAATGGTTTGGGCACTATTTGTCGTGGAAACCGTACCATACTTGTGATAAATTGCAAAGACCACTGGTTTTACCAGTCAGTCGTACGGTGACATGACGTTGGCGCCATTTTCCAACAGGATAACGCGCAAGCGCACATCAACCGCATCAAGGGTTGTTACCGCATCAAGCGAAGGTTGAATGTTAGATAAGTCATTGAAATCGCATGTCTTGTCGCCAGTTGAACACGTTAGGGATATTCTTGTGGAACGCGCGAGACAACATCAACGTGCTGGAGCTGACGAAGCCTTGAACATCTCTCCCCGAATTATTCGTCGGTTTACGAGTTTTATGCGACGACGCCGGAATGTTGTTCAACGCGCAACGATGGTCATACCCGATGCTAACGGTGTTTCATCTGAAATTGACCATGGCGTCATTTAACGTCGAATAACAACAACTGAACACACAGTTATGCAATTAACCATATCAGCAGTGTTATCAGTTACAGGATTGGGAGGGATTCATGGACACAACAATCTGACGTGATTATGTCCTTCGCAAAGACGTTTTACCCTTATTTTTTTCTGTTTTACATGCGACGGGCCTTCCGCATGTTGTTTATTGATGTAATCTCCAACTTCTGCATTACGTCCGCCTCAAAATAACTCTGACTATTCACGGGGCTATAAACCTAACAAAAAGACTTGTATGTTTTAACATGATTAATTTATTATCTGTAAACATTGCGAAATAGATCATAAGTGGAGCGCTCCGTAAAATGCGACCAATGAAATGCTTTTTTCTCTGTAATTCCTTCATAAACTTATCTGATGACGAAAGATTGATGCTTTATGTTCACAATATTCAGTATTACAGCTACATGTCACTGAGGTTTTTGTGTGTGTATTTGTTTGTTTTGTTTTTTGTTTAAACTTGTGTATGCTTTAAAATATGGAAAATACCTTTACTTAAGATTCTGTAGAATGTTTGGTCAAATGTTTTCCCATGCTATTGGTTGATACAAGAGTTTGTGAATAATTTGAAGTAAAGGACAAATATTTTATACTGAAAAGTTTTGTTTAAGTTTTGGATATAGCAATTTCAGCTAAACAAAGCGGAAGAGTGAGAACGGCCTTGGGAATCTCTTGCTCGTTCATTGCGTAGTTTGTATCCCAAGTCAATATTACAAATGTAGAACAAAGTGCCATATTTTACACCGTTTTTGATTCACAAAATATCGTATAGAATTTGTCAAAACATGAAAATGTAATTCATCGCATTTCTGTGTATGATATCAGTAGAGAAATCAATGTAATATACAAAGTTTAAACGAATGCTCTAAAAGTGATTGTGTATTTACACGTATTAATAAGCCCATGTACCAGACACATATCATTCCTTGGCTCAACAAGTGCATGTACGGAATGTTATAATACGAACTGATTTTAATCGTCAAAGCTAGTTAGTGAAAATCTTCGGATACGACTTAAGCAAACTTTTGGACATTATTTTATCATTTCACAGTTGTAGATATGTTGAGACTAGTAATTTTAGATACTTTTGCTATCAAATTTGTTTTGAAAGCCCTTTTTATTTTTCAGTGGTAACAATTGCAGTCTTTTTTATCAATAACAATACTCTCCCCAAACTTTGATCAACTGGGTCAGAATGTTATGTCAGCCGAAGCGAGTTGCTTAAACAAATCACGATTCCCCACCCTCAATTTATCAGTAACAACAAATGACAGGCGTCTCTAGAGACAGTTACAAGTGTTGGTCTGAAGACATTAGCATGTCAGATTAGTCTCTCTCTCTCTTCAAAGAGACGTACTAGGTTGACCTTTCAGCATAGTAATCTATCTTTTTATCAGTTGAAGACACCAGGAAACAGTCCTGTGATTTCAATGTAACACATACATCGTAGGCTATTTACTGCAACACGATACACAGAAGCAATACTATGGCATGTAATAACATACTGCAATGCATCTTTGAGGATGAATTCAAACCAAACAGACGGTCGATGTTTGCCCAGATTCCTGTCTGATCTTCCTGCTGTTTATCTAGTCTCTTCTTCATGCCTACTTGAGACGTCGGGCGGAACAAGGTGTGTCTGTCACATCTGGTTGTAGTCATGTTCAGTCTAAATCCCCGACGGCACTGACATTTGTAAGCGCCTACGGTGTTACGGCAAATTTTGTCACTTGGACACTTTGCCAAATCATCATAACACTCGTCTTGGTCAATGCAGATACTATACTTTGGAGACCATATGAAACCTTTACGTTCTTTCTCACAATTACACGTGTAATTTATTCTATTTCTTACAAGGTAATCAAAGTTGGTATTTTTTCCTGTCTCCCAGGAACAGGTCTTATCCTTCAACTGCGAGCACGGGTTTAGTGGGTCAGCTTTAGCTTTCTTCTCCGATATAACATTCCCCGAAGTACTCTTTCCATAACACGGATCTGGACAGAACCATAAATATGCACACGTATACGGAGATATAAAGTGTGGTTCATTTTTAGCTACAGTATCGATGAATTTTGAGCGGTGGTCATGTATTTTGTAAACAGCTTCTTCAACTTTCCAGAGGTCTGCCAGACAGCCCTTCTTTGCATCATAAGCTAGAAATTTGCTGAGGCGATCTGTATACCAACACATGTAATAACTGGCAGTAGTCCGATACTGGAACTGTTCCAATGCTGATGTAAACGGGTATTCAGTGGGTATCAAACCCTTGGTGTAGTTCTTATGGAATTTCGCAAGTGATCCGGATATATTTGCAACAGTGGCGATTTCCGTAATGCATTCAAATTCGCCTTTATTGCAAGCCTGTTCCACGTCAGGATGCAATCTCTTTAGGCGCGGAATAGGAAAGTGCTTGAAGAATTTTCTATCTTCGTATCTAGTCGTCGAAAATGTGTATCTTCTATCAACTTCAAAGTATTTATGAGCTGCTAAATAAAGTCCTACAAGTCTAAGGCTAGCTGCCATTAAGTTCGGAAATAACTTACCCGTCGTGTTA